CCCCCCCCCCCCCGCCTAGAAAGTTTTCTGCGGGCACCCATGCGTATGACTAACGATTATCATCGCCACCCTCCCCAAAAAAGGTAGCCTACAGCTATGCCAAAACTATCGCACAATTAGCCTAATATGCCATCCAAGCAAGGTCATGCTGAAGGTCATATTGAACTGACTGAAACCATATGCGACAGAATCATTGCTGAAGAGCAGGCGGGCTTCAGACAAGGACGGGGCACTACTGAGCAGATTCTAAACCTCCGAATACTATGTGAGAAATATGCTCAACACCAGCAAAACCTAGTTTTCGTTCTGACTTGCAAGTATTGTACAGAATGATTGTACTATATGGCCCGCGCACGTCATTTTGTCCGTTATCCGGCCCGCCGTGAAAAAAGTTTAGTGACCCCTGCATTAGTTGGTTCTTGTGTCTTCAATTTTCTGTAGCTTTGATGAGTGGTTGAAATTGGAGAAAAAAACTTCTTTCATCATATTTTTGGCCAATCGACAAAGTAAACAAAGATAACTGTTCAATTCCAAAAACATCAGCTGTTTCACTGATTCAGACGGAGATGCAAGCGACCTGATTTATTTGCTGCATGAGTTGTGTAAAATGATGCTGTCACTGGACACAAATCAGGCTACTAAGTTCTTGACCAATATCTTTAAGATTTTCCTGTCGCGATCCGTGGGTGATTGGTTCCTGAAGGGGTCTCGAAATAAAGTACGATGGATTTAAGCACAAAACGTGTAATAATTAAAAAGATAAGATTATTTATCGTTCCAAATAGACTGAAATATTTTTTTATTACATTGTACATGGGCCTATTCATTGTACATTTTACAATTACAACAATTTTAAACACAAGATATTATCTCTTGTATAATATATTTTATTTATTTCTGGTGTGCCCTGCTTCCTCTTCAAAATCGCGAGCTTCAGGCGTGACGTCTAAACTCCGAAAATATCCTGATTTTCTTTCTTTAGAAAGATTTTTTTTAAAATGCTACTTGGTTCTAGTGCTGCACACCTCACAGATGGGCCATGTGCCGTCCTTTCACTTTTAAGGCAGTGGTTGGAAAATCGTGGTTCACTAAACAGCCGCATGCGGTGCGGCTCTTTAGTGACTTGAGTGCAGCTCGGAAGAAATCGGTTTTGACTCCAAAGAACATGATTCTTGACAATTTTCTTGAAAAAAAATGGCTCTCAAAAATGTAATTGTCCTGCTGCTGATATTTGGCTCTTTGACCAACGAGTTTTCCGACCACTGACTTATGGCGTGTGTGCGCCTGTGAGTCTTTTCCAGTGTTTCTTTCAGAAATTTTCCCAGGGGTGGCACTTCAGATTTTTTTTTTTTTGGGGGGGGCCCACTTTAGATTTTTCGGGGGGGGGGGCAGTGCCAGGAGTTCCAGTTGATTTTTTGTTGCTCCAATGGGGCCCTTGTTTTTCCCCGGGGGCCCTGCCCCCCCCCCCC